GTCGCTCCAGCAGCTGGTGGCGGGAAGGAGAATCCCGGTGCCTCTTCTTTGTCTAGTAGTTTAGGTAATGGATTTTAGTCCTCGCAGGGCGGCGTTTCTTCATCGAGTTGATCTTTATGGTTTCGATCCTCCTCGAGTTCGTCCATCTGGACGGAATCGATAGAGCTACAAAAACATGAATACTTCACAAACAAATCTTCGGGAATATATTTATTTGTATGCCCTTTCAATGCATTTTTTATGGGAAACACTTTTAATGCTTACTGAGGGTTCTGCTATAAGAAAGGCTACAAAAATAGCATAGAAGGTACCATCTATTTCAAGGTTGACACGAATGGAAAAGAAGAACAAAAAGGCATGAGCTACGTCCTTTAGTATGTTGCTGACAAAATTAGATTTCAAAAAACTGAACATGGTATCTCCCTGATGGACATCGTAGATGGCAAAGAGACCAAGTTCATGATAATTTTTGAACTTATACCTTGTTGCAAGGTAGTCTTCCATGTCATAGTCAAATCTTCTTTCAGTTAAGTGAAATCCATGTGTTACTTTGTTTCTTCTTTTCGAAATAGACTTTCGCCCCGCTTTATAAATAAAGCAACCACCACGTTCACACAAGAAGGTCAAGTGCAACATAGGGAATAGACTAGTCTGCCGGGGCATCAGCACAAACATGTCCAAAGAAGCATAAAAGAAATAATCCATGTGTAATGTGTTGCTTTGTTGGTGGACAACTTGTTTCCTCTTGTTGCAGTATCAGAGGATGGTGGATTAAGACATTTTGCGGTCTTTGCATGGGTAAATGAATAAGACCAGATAATATCCACACAATTGTCTCAATAAAAGAACTATAATAGTTAAATATTGATCGAGTAAAAAAAATTCTGGACCAGAAGTGCCATGAATAATCGGGAGATGTACTGCGTTCTTAACTACTCCCTCCGTTCGGAATTATTTGTCTCGGATATGGATGTATCTAGAATCAAAATACGTCTAGATACATCTATTTCTGCGACAAGTAATTCCGAACGGAGGGAGTATTAACTTACCCCATAGAAGATCATGATCATGTTCTGTCCTTTTCTTAAAAGCTAGCCACAAAAACTATAAATGACATGGTTGAGAAAAATCATTTTGTGACTTTAAAAATTACTACGTTGACAATACAAAATGTAGACCTTCTTTGTCTTTCTTGTAAGTGAGAATAACCATGTGCTACTGGAGTTGTTGCTGGAGGTGGTGGCCTAATCGGCTCTTCGGTGATGGTTACTGTTATGGGCATGGGCTCTCGGGGCGCAATACACGCCGTCACCGGCACTCTTGGAGATGTCTTATTTGAGTCTGGCTGGTGATTCTTAGGCGCTATGGGTGCCTTGACCCAGCCTGAGGTGAAGACAGGGTCGTGCTGTCATGGTGTTGGTTGTGATGCGATCCTTGATCTTTGAGTCTCACCTCCTTGCCATTTTGTGTCTCGAGGTTTGACTAGGCGAGTTGTTTCGTCATTGTAGCTGGGGTGTTGTGTGTTGTATGCCGAAAGGCGTTGTATAGCCCGCCTGGCTCTTCTTCAATGATACTGATGCACCTTTTCCATGGTGTATCGTTGAAAAAGAAAAGATACTCCCTCCGTTCCTAAATATGACGTTTTGGCAGTTCAAAAAACATCATATATTTTGGAACACAGGGAGTAGTAAGAAAGCAGCTCCAAGAAAAGCACATGAATCTGCAGCAGCGCAAAACGCCACAATGGTTGAACCACGAAGAAAGCCCAGCTCAAATGAGCATTGGAATTATTGTTTTTTACAACAAAAGGTCTGTGTTCAACAGTGTTAGTAACCCTATAGTGGTCTTGCAGAATTCTGGAGGCCTGCCGTATCTGTGGCAGGAAGAAGCCAGTCCCCAAGGGTATTGTCGATGGTAAGCGCAAGCACCATGGTATTACCCAGTTGAAGTTATAGAGGAACAAGCGGTCTGTTGCTGAAGAAAGAGCTGGACGCAAGCTTGGCCTTCGTGTGCTCAACTCCTGCTGGGTCAATTGGTTGCAGTTGTAGCTTCTGCTGATTATACAAGTTAGAATACGCCGGGGCCCCTCCCTTAGTATATGCTCTATTTTTCATTGATGCACCTATAACAAGACAGTCTTGCTATCAAACAAGTATTGCCTATATTTATGACTCTGCTGATCATGTATGCATACATGTACATGCAGGTCTTCTGATAAAACTGCAGTTCAGGTAGCTAGCGAGAGGGTAGCTTGACAAAGATTACAGCGGACCTGGCAGTGCAAGGAGTGGTCGACATCCTCATATTGCAAACACCCACAACACAAGTTACTCCTTCCGCAAGCCTTTCACGGCCGTGTTCACCTCTTGAATGTCCTCGGTGGAACCCACCCTTACCTACCCAGTGCTAAACGCTTCTGGTCTCTAAGACAATCGACGTTCCAAACATTTTGACCCACCATGGCCTCAACCTCAACCTTTTTCCTTCTCATAACCTTCATTTTCTGGTGCAACTTCGGTATTGCCTTCACAATACCTGCAGGTTCACGACAGTTGATGAGTAGGCATACATTCTGAACCATAGATAACTGAGCAAAAGTGCTACTTCTCGTATAGTAGATAACAGCACTATCTACACCAAATTTAAATGTAGGGATATGATCTTTGTGATTTCTGTCAAGCATACTGTTAACCGAGTCCAGTTGTATTTATACAAGAAGCAAAAAGGATAGAGGATTGCCAGACAAAAACTGAAAGTCATAATTAAGTGTGAGAAAACCTTCTGATTGCTAAAGCTAACACATCAGACCAAAAAGATCAACAGATGACCAAAGCTTGATGGTCTATTCAACTTTTGTTCAAAAATCAATGACTCATGGCTAATACTAATAGGTGCAGCACTTACTACCAAAATAATAGTTAGTAGCTGGATGTCGTTTCACACAAGGAGATAGGGAAGAACATCGACTTCAGGGCTTAAGGTGGTAACAAACCATATCTGGTGTCGTTTCACACAATAGCCCTTCACTAATCATCTGAACTGGTGAGTGTTCAAATAAATAGTTCAACGAAGTGAAAATTCTGATTATTTTGAGAAAATTTTAATTATCAAATCATCTTATTTAATGGATAAAAGCTTGTGATGTTCAGAAAGCAGAATAAACCAAAGCTTTGGCATGCCATCACATTGAAGTCAGAACTAAAACCTGAGTGTACTAATACAACATTGGTGAGCAGCAAAAGTGTAATTCGGACAGGCAGAACAAAGCTGATGAGCCTTGGAAGTTTACAGCTAATTGTGTATAATTTTCTTTGCTCTTTTCCCTTTACTTGAGGTATTCATTACTGAATCTAGTGGCATACCTTGAATATTCTCCTTAACAGATTTGTCTTCATACAACTTCAGTACTTCAGTTATAGAGGAATTAAGGTTACTTTTGTATGTAGCTTGCCTTTCCAAGGAAGTACTTTCTCTTCTAAGTTCTTCAGATTCCGTGTTAGCCTAATTAAACAACACCAGAGTTTGTTAGATTAAGTGTAGATATTATTATCAATCTAATTCTTTGTGAGTATGGTACTTACGTCTGCCAGTTTTTTTCTCAAAAAATTAAGTTCTGCATCCAGTTCCGAATCAGAATTCCCATCTTTATGCAACACCGTTGCAGAAGAATTATCCTGATGAAAAAACATAATATAATTATACTCATTTACATGCCTCTTGCTTTTTGAAAATGCAGGTTGTAAAGTAAATATAAATAATGCATGGCTTCAGTGAACCAAAATGGTGCATAAAGCCGTAAACGTATGATTTATTGAGTACCTTATTGCAAACAAGCTTTGGGGTTAACCAATACTAGGCTTCTAAAATAAAATTTTAGGTTGGGCTTCTAGAATAAACTGGGGAAGGGGCAGCTTATTTCCACAGCCAGCCATAAGCCCCAAAAGAACTGGCCCTCAACCTTAAGCTTAATTAAATGTTTCACACTGATTCCGTTTACTAGACATAAGAACTGAACCACAGATGTTTATGACTTAAGTCACTTAGTTAATACTCCCTCTGTCCCAAAAAGCTTGTCTTAGATTTGTCTAGATACAGATGTATCTAGACACGTTTTAGTGTTCAATACATCCATATCTAGATAAATCTAAGACAAGTTATTTGGGACGGAGGTAATATTAAACTTCTGTTTCCCTAGAAACAGTTTAGTAAAATGTTCTAATTGATGTTTAGTAAATCTATATTTGCTTGTTAGGACATCTGGCATTGAAATCTAAGTGGAATATTTTTGACAGAGATGGATAGAAAACAGAATTACATTAATATATGCTAAACATATAACAGAAAAAGGTATCCTATTTCAATACAACGACCGACAAATTAATGATGTGCATTAGTCGGGTAATTTAAAATAAGATATCAATAAGAAATGCCCAGATATATTTTGCCCTGAGAATCAGAAGGTCTTGCTGATATTACTATTTATTATATTACTTCCTAGTTGAGCATAGCATACACCATGGCCACTTAGAAAAACTGCAATTGAATAATGTAAGCAGCTAAAACATAGATAAATTAAAGCTCAAGCTTTCATAGTTGAGAGAAAGTCTGAAAGTCAGAAATGATGGAATGTTAATCAATATAGAGTAGAGAACAGAACTCAAATTCTCCAATTAGCTTACAAACTAGTTCAAGCTTGACTGGTATTGACTGTGCATAACTTTTATCTTGAAAGGTTTCCTTGTCAATTGCCGAGTCAACTGAATTAAATACTTTTCACAAAAGGGTGAAGATAGGGCGTCAGTTTCCACATTATGAACCCCCAGGACAAAAAGTATCTGAAGCAATAATCTATAGTGAATCATGTGAAACAGGGATGTGAATTGTGTGGATCAAAGTGTTGTGTGGGTCAAATTGGCAATTCTGGATTGAAAAAAAAAACAATTACTTTGAGATAAGAGACATACATCTTCAGGTGCCACAAATCCTTCAGGTACAGTTAAACATTTCCGAAGGCAATACATCTCCCAATTGCTCATTCTTTTGTTCAATACATCCGTTACCAAGTTGCAAATTGCATTTACTCCCTAAGACAAAAATCATCACAAAGTCCACATTTCAGAAATTTCCAGCAGAAGTTTTGACAAAAAAATACAGCATTAATCATATGTGTTACAAAATGCCTCTAGGAAGAGGGAACTCAATGGCATAAATATTACATAAGAAAAAAAATCAGTATTTAAATATCTTAAAGCATGAATATGTAAAACCAGATGAATTATAGCCTTATAGGCCGAACCAAAAGTTATTATGATGATTGTTCTGACTGTTTCAAGCTTCCATTCGGTAATCATTTTACATTCAAAATTTGCATATAATGCCTTATATCAAATGTGTTATAAAGAATATCTCATTCCTGGCACATTGAAGTACCAAGACACAGTTTGCAGCGGAAGAAATTAATATTCATTTGCTACAGAAAGGGATCACCAAACATGCAAACATAAGAGCTATATCCCATACACATGAAAGACGCATCTACTTAGGCAGTTAAGGCAACATCGCTGCATCAATTTCCTTTGGAATGGTATACTCCAACATAATAAAACTATCTATACATGGCTGATACAGTTTAGTTTTCTCCACTGTGGAACTACAAGGAAAGCAAACTCATCTTGACCTGAGTGATAGCAAGTTCAGATCGAACACACTTGATCTATTAGTACTTGGGCATATTTATACAGGTTACAGAGAGGCACTTGGCCACTTGAACACACTTGATCAGGAGAGGAGGAACATGTGTGTTGACTAGGAAAACTACACACACGTACACTAGCCGTATACTACGGTCAGTATTCTAACACAGTACTGAGCAAACCACTGAGGGTGTTTAGTTCAGATTCAAACCTAACAATTTCCCCGTGTAATCACTGAATTAGATTTAGTAGCATTATTAGCATGTAAAAAGTAACTACTCTGGCCAGGAGACCATTTAGAATCTGGTAGTGCCCTGAATTCTCCAAAATTCCAAAGGAGGGTTCAGTTATATTGGATCCTGAGGTTGGAAAAAACCTACCCGTTTTAGCTCCTCAGCCTGATTGGTCGCCGTGGCGGTGCTGACGGCCGCAGGGGCACCTTCCCTGTAGAATGACAGCGAAAGGGCAAAGTTAACAAAACCAATAGGCGGCAAAGGGGGGAAAGTGAGCTGCTGTTACAGAGAGGGATCCGAGGCGTAACTGGAGGCAGTACTCGAAGGCCTGGAAGCGGATGTCGTCAACCATGTTGAGGACCTCGTTGATGAAGATCTGAGGGCTCAGCCCCAGCACTGCCTCCACCGCCGAGGTCTCGTCGTCCCCTTCCATACCTCCTGCCACCCACACATGAATCAAGAAACAAAGGTAAACCCCAAGTTTAGGAGGAACTCACTAATTGTTATTAAGTTCGTTGGAGTTTGATTATAACTACAAAGTTGATTTTTTCTTGATAAAACATGACAAGGGACTAGATTGTGAGAGATGATTAGTGCTAGGGAAAAAGAAGATTCCCATATACACTGGCCGTATACATGTGCAGGCCTGGCGATCAGCATAGCTACCTACATCGATCCACGCCTCAACCCTAAAATAAGAGAGTGGACAATAAGAACAAATGGCAAGAAGAATAGATTGTGATAAAAAATAACAATTGCCAACAGTAAGAAATGTAGCTCATCCATAACAAATTGTGGTACTGTTGGTAGGTACTCCTGCACCTTAGGCTCTTCGGTTATTACAAGGTTCATATGATAATCATATGACGCTTCTTATCTGCCTTAGCAGCAGACCACATGCGGGAAAAGTTTTCACCATGAAATTCCTTAACTACATTTACCATAAGGTGCCTAAAACATTCTGTTTGCTTGGCATTGGGAAAAACATTGTTCACTACATCTTTCTAACCCCTTGCAAGCATCTGTGCATACAGCCAACACGAAGATCACCTATTGCCTTCTTTGGTTGTCTCATGAACCAAGTCCAGTTTCCTTCTGTTTTTGCATTGAAAAAACTAAAAGCTACAAGAAACATCGAATTATGTCCATCCAAAGTTGTAACCGCAGCGAGGTGCCCATTCCACTTGCGATTCAAATGAGCCGAGTCTATATGGTCTACACCCATTCAAAAATCCATTTATGCAAGGCTTAAATGCAATGAACAACTTGTCAAAAACCATATTACCGTCTATAATTGGCTTTTTAGATTAGTCGATTTTATACGTAGTAGCGATCTCTACAACACTTCTTAGTGATCTCAACTCAATTTCAGCTTTGAAGTTATGAAGCAATCGAAAGCTCTCTTCCCAGCTCCCATATAGATCAACAATAGCTCGTTGTCGACCTTTAAACATAGTGTGATATGGAACCGTGCATTATAGTCGCTCTGAAGCTTCTTTTGTAGGCAATAGCTCGTTGTCGACTTTAAACATAGTGTGATATGGAACCGTGGCATTATAGTCGCTCTGAAGCTTTTTTTGTAGGGAGATAGCACTTATTTGATCTATATGGAGCTGGGAAGAGAGCTTTTGATTGCTTCATAACTTCAAAGCTGAAATTGAGTTGAGTTTACCAGGAAGTGTTGTAGAGAGCGCCACTAAGAAATAAAACTGACTCATCTGAAAAGCCAATTATAGACAGCAATATGCTTTTTGACAAGTTGTTCATTGCATTTAAGCCTTGCATAGATGGATTTTGGAATGGGTGTACATCATACATAAGTATAGACTCAGCTCATTTGAATGGCAAGTGCAATAGGCACCTCATTGTGGTTACAACTTTAGATGGACATAATTGGATGTTTCTTGTAGCCTTTTGTTTTTTCAATGTTGAAAAGGAAGAAACTGGACTTGGTTCATGAGACAACTAAAGAAGGCAATAGGTGATCTTCCTGTGTTGACTCTATGCACAGATGTTTGCAAGGGGTTGGAAAAAATGCAGTGAAGAATGTTTTTCCTGATGCCAAGCAAAGAGAATGTTTTAGGCACCTTATGGGAAATGCAGTTAAGAAATTTGATGGTGAAAACTTTTCCCGCATGTGGGCCTGCTGCTAAGGCACATGAGCAATCGACATATGATTATCATATGAATCTTTAATAACAGAAAAGCCTAAGGTGCAAGACTACCTACAACAATACTACAATTTGTTATGGATGAGGTACATTTCTTACTGTTGTCAACTGTTTATTTATTTTTCATCACAAGCTATTTTTCTTGCCATTTGGTCTCATTGTCCACTCTCTTATATAACTTAGGTGCACGTTCAACAAGGATATCAAGGTGGACTACATACACAATAATCTTGCAGAATGTTTTAATAGTTGGATCAGGGAGATAAAGGATTTGCCTATCGTCCAGTTTTGTGACAAGTTGAGAGAGATGGTTATGGAGCTCTTTAGGAATTAGGAAGAGGAGAAGGATTGGAGAGTGTTTGCAAGGTAAAAAATTCTGCCAGGCGTCATTAAACAATTAAACGATAGGACTAGAGGATTAGGCCATCTCTAAAGGGATTGTAGTGTCAAGGTCACTGATATAGAGAAAGATCACACTAAAAGGCATGTAAACAAGGCACTTGCACATGAATGTACTTGCATGGAGTGGCAACATACAAACAAGCCATGTACACATGCATTAGTTGTTCTAACTGCAGTCTAATGTCAAGCTGGAGGACTTTGTGCACAATTACTACTACGTGTAAAAATTCAGGCTGCATATCAAGGGGAGATAGAACCACTCGCAGACAAGGTTCAGTGTCCTGCGGTGGATCCAGGTTTTGTTCTGCAAGCAACACTACCAAAGCAGGTGCAAGAAGGCATAGGAAACTAAGGATAAAGGCTGCTCTTGAGGGGGTTTAGGTAATAAACCTAAGGTAGGTTGAAAGAACATATGCAAAAAATGCCATGAACTTGGGCATAGGGAAGCTGGATGTCCTTACAATGGGGCGAAGAAGAGATACAATCACTTCATTTGGAACAACGACAAAACCTCTCAAAAAAGCTCACGCCTGAGAGGAAGAAACTCAATCTGTGATATTTGTTTCAGTCGTTAGAGAGAGTTATTTTGTGATGCTGTCATTGGAACTTCTTTTCTATCAAGTTTGCGACGTTTGAAGTTATTTTTCCAATAATTTTGTGAGATGTGAACTCACCTCAACAAGTAGATGGTCAGGCATAAACTACTCATTATGTCTTTTTCTCAAGGCAACACTTCGGATGACACTTTAAACTGCAATTTTGTCATTTTGAGATGTTCATCATGTGTTTGAATAATTATTGTGTGTGATCCGTGTGTATGTGGGCATCTTCTTCTTTTTCCCTAGCACTAATCATCTCTCATAATCTAGTCCCTGGTAAATGTTTTGTCAAGAAAAAGCAAACTAATAAAACTCCAACGAACTAATAACAGAGTCAAATTCCTCCAGGCTCAGTTAAGCGTCCATGAGTGGCAGGAACGCAAAGTGCAGGTAACAACAGTGTAGAGCAGGAGCAAAACCAAACCTCCTCCTCCTGGAGCCTGCTTGTTGGGCCCGAAGATTTATCTCAGGCTCCCGAATCCCTCCTCCAGGGGTAAGTTCTCCTGCGGCAGAGAGGGGCAGCAAGAGCTTCACGAACAGGGCAACAGGAGCAGCACGAACTCCAAA